TATACACACACACACACACACACACACACACACACATATATATAATATGCATGTAGATACACATATATATAAGACAAATGAAGAATTGGGGGGAGGGATATTTTGTACATTTTAAAGTTTAATTATTCTATCTAATGCACTTTGAGCTTTCAAAATTAAGAGCTCCAACACATGTTCTTAACTAAGAAAACTTAAGTCAGAAAAAAAGTCAGTGAATTGACTTGTACCTGACCTTTAAAGGGGACTCAACCCTCTTTTTATTTGTGATATACTGTCTCAGTATAAATTACACGAACACTGGTGTTTTAATAAGCCAAACAAATTAGAATATAATAATAATAATAATAATAATAACGACAGTAATAGCCATGTATTGTAAAACAACTGCACTGTAAAATAAATGAAAATGAATATTTCATAGGTATATTATTTTTGCTTTACACTACAGTAGGGAAACACTACTTTTTTCCTAATTTCGACACTTGAAAGAGATATTTTGAATTTGGACTGCATTTAAACCGCTAGCTGTCAGCAATTCATACTGCACTTTAAGCTTTTATTTTGACGGAAACGGCAGTAGAGCTTTTATTTTGAAGGAAAACTCCAGCTTCAGTGAAAACAGGCTTACAAAAACACGTCTCACTACAAATCTAGTGAAACGCTGTAATCATCTGCCGTGAAAATAAAGCCTAACGGGTGTCTGTTGTGTTCCCAAACGCACACTAAACTCACAGCAGTGCAATAAACAAGTTGACTGCATGTATTCAGTGTGAACGAGCCGTTCTGACACCAGATCACGAGCTGATCGTCTGAACGAAGTGCAGCTTCGCTTTAAAGGTCACATATTGTAAACCTTTCTGGAGTTTTATTTTAGGTTTTGATGTCCTTAAGAATATATATTTGCGGTATACGTACCAAAAACCATCTCAATATATTTTTACAGCGCCTCTCTCAGGAACTGCTGAGAACAGGTCGATTTTGGCCTGTCTCATTAATATTCATGAGCAATGTTTAAAACGCATTTTAACATTCAATACGCCTTAATTGTAAGTTATTAGGTTATATTTTTGTTTACACATGGTTCAAATATGTTTTTTGTTTACACATGATTCAAATCTATCATTATTATTATTTTTTTTGTTGAATTAACAAAATCACTGGTAAATAAAACACCTTAGTATCGATATTTTTTGTTTGAGTATCGACACGTTCGATACTCGCGTCAGTATCGATATATCGATACTTTGGATCGATACGTCCATCCCTCGTAGGGACTGTGGGCAGTGCACGGGGTGGTGACTGAAGGTTTGAACTTTTTACGGAAGTCACAAAGGTTCGTGAAAAATCACAACTACTTTAAGCAGGCTGTGTGAATTTTACTGTGGACTGACTGTTTTTCGTGAAAAAAGCCAGGAAATTTTTGACAATTGTCAGTTTTGACAATATGGGACCTTTAAAACACACAGCGAAAACCAACTTGATGAAGGGATGAAGCCATACTGTGCTTTCGGTTTCAGTTCGTTTGACAGATACTGTGCCAGAGCATAATGCCCCAAAACACAACTTTAAAGACCTTTTACGTTTGAACAAGAAGTTCAAATATATTTTAAAAACTACACTTTTTCTATCATTTCATATCATCATGTGACCACGATAATATCGAGACTTTGAGTTTTTGCTATCGAGATATCACAATATTCATAATATCGTTACATCCCTAAGTGAAGAGACATGAACCCTACAACTCCCAAGCATCTTCTATTCTGTGACGTTCCTTCAGTTTTGGCTTTCAAACCAGAAGAATTAAATTGCACAGTTATTATATAATTTTGGTGCTAACATTCATGCCGAAATGGTTATGATCTGAGAATGACTTAAAGGGGTCATGAACTGCCTCTGTGTTTTATTTTGTACTGTTCTCTGAGGTAGGGATGGGCATTTTTGGCAATTTCTCATTTTGATCATCGATAGGTTTCAAAAATGAGTAATCGAGTACTCTGGGGCGGGGCTTGTGTGGGGGGCAGGGCATGGCCGTAATGGAGATAATGAAAATATCTGAAGACTGTTATGAAAATATGCCATGAAAACCTGTCTATGAAAACATGAACACATGATTAGAACACTGTTAGATTATGATTATGATGCAGCAATGTTATTAAAAAAAGAGAATAGCTGCCTGAGGTGAAGCTGAGTGACTTTATGCCAATAAACTGAAACCCGTTCTATGATGCTTCCTATGATATTAATCAGATAACTTAGATACATAACATAGACACACAAAAGGATGCAAATGCCATTGAACTTTCAATTATGTGCTATAGCGAGAAAGAGAGAGATGGAGAGAGAGAGAGAGAGAGAGAGAGAGAGAGAGAGAGAGAGAGAGATCGAGAGAGAGAGAGAGAGAGAGAGAGAGAGAGAGAGAGAGAGAGAGAGAGAGAGAGAGAGAGAGAGAGAGAGAGAGAGAGAGAGAGAGAGAGAGAGATAGAGATCATAACATAGCACGCTGAAACACAGGCAAGGAAAGCAGACAGAATTTACTAGATTTCACATTCTATAAAGTTCTCATTATAAATGCTATGTTTATGGCAGATTTGTGCTATATTTTCATCTACATTAACAAGTGATTCCTGAAATCTCCTGAGCGTTTTAGAATTTACTAGATTTCACATTCTATAAAGTTCTCATTATAAATGCTATGTTTATGGCAGATTTGTGCTATATTTTCATCTACATTAACAAGTGATTCCTGAAATCGCCTGAGCGTTTTCTAAGCCATACGAAGTACGAAAACAATTTTAATTGAAGTATGCCTACTGTTGAACAAATATGACGAAAAAGGCACTGCTCAGTACATCAGTATTAATACATTAATACATCAGTATTTTTAAAAAAGAAACATGTAAAAGTAATATGACCGTCTCAAATAACACAGTCAATATCGGGCATTGCATTTGAGCATGAAACAAAACTCTGGTAATATGCAGCACAATCAGCATGTTAATAAATGTTACTATCCCAACCCATCCTATATTAGATTAATCAGATATGTAAAGCTAACCCAGACATCACTACGTGACATCGAAGCCATGCTTCTCTCTCTTCTGACGTCTTTGGACCCATGCTGTGGCCAGCTAAACAATCAGAGCTCAGGGTGCCGCCCAAAGTGCTGCTATAACCAATCAGGAATAATCAGGAAAAAACAATTCCACGATCATCGTTTTCATGATCGAGCGTCACTATCACAGCAGACTACTCGAGTACTCGGTCTCGATGGCTGTTGCACATCCCTAATCTGAGGTCTACTTAATGTTATCAAGATTTTTACATCATAAAACATAATTTCGAAATAATAAGGTGTTTTCTGTCCTGTTTTTAACCCCTCATCAGAACGCTCTGTTTGAACAGGCGTGGAGGATTGTAGACTCTGAAGTAAATGCCACTGCTGTGATTGGCTAATAGCTGTGTATGATTGACAGCCTACATTCCTCACAGATGGACGCTGCTGTGATTTAGGTCAAAAACGCATAAGTGCTCATATCAAACGATCTGTTTAACAGACAAAGCAATAGTGATCACGTAATAAAAACAGTTACTCACACTTGTGTTGCGACATTACTGTCAGATTCACTATAGTTGCACAGCATTATCTATCAGATTCAGTCTTTCTGAAAATTCTGTGTTAAATTGTGCCTTGTTTGTAAACGAATCTGCGGTAAAATGAAGTGAACAAAGGACCGAGTTCTTACTGACGCGGTCTGGATCTTCATTAAAAATAAAGTTAATTCACTCTTTTCGTTGTGATCAGAAGGAAGGTGATACAAGCACTGTTTTTTCACAGCTTGGCACTGAACAGCGTCTTGTTGTCTTCAGAGCATCTTTATCACTTGGTTTCTACACAGGTAGTGCTGTAGAATCGGTGGGCGGGGCTAAACAGGCAGCGATGTAGAATCGGGGGGCGGGGCTAAACAGGCAGCACTGTAGAATCGGTGGGCGGGGCTAAACAGGCAGCACTGTAGAATCGGTGGGCGGGGCTAAACAGGCAGCACTGTAGAATCGGTGGGCGGGGCTAAACAGGCAGCACTGTAGAATCGGTGGGCGGGGCTAAACAGGCAGCACTGTAGAATCGGTGGGCGGGGCTAAACAGGCAGCACTGTAGAATCGGTGGGCGGGGCTAAACAGGCAGCACTGTAGAATCGGTGGGCGGGGCTAAACAGGCAGCACTGTAGAATCGGTGGGCGGGGCTAAACAGGCAGCACTGTAGAATCGGTGGGCGGGGCTAAACAGGCAGCACTGTAGAATCGGTGGGCGGGGCTAAACAGGCAGCACTGTAGAATCGGTGGGCGGGGCTAAACAGGCAGCACTGTAGAATCGGTGGGCGGGGCTAAACAGGCAGCGATGTAGAAGCAGGCGTTGATCTTCTGTGGAGGCGGGGCTTATCCACACTATTACATTACAGAGTAGAACGTTCCACAAGTCTTTTTGGCAGACTGCCTTCAATATAAGCTTTTTAGACTAACAAGAAAGTTTTGAGTTCTGAAACTTACAGGATGTTTTTATAGTACAATGGCTTCTTGTATGTCAAAAGATAAAGGGAATTTTGGTTTCTCCGTTCTTGACCCCTTTAAGACAGCTTTTGTTTGAATGTAACTAAAAGTTACCTGTCCTGTTCGGAGTTTCCAGTGAGTGGCAAGTCCATAGGCCGTGTCCATGAAGATTCGGGGCACGCTCAGTCCCTCCTCGATGGCTTGAAGTTTAAGACCCAGCAAGTGGCGGTCTATACCCTGCCCCATCAGCGACTAATCAAAAATGACACTCATTATGCAGTCAACATAAATACGGATCTGGGCAGAGAGTCAGAAGTGTCCATGTTATTCACCTGCTCTGTGAGGATGCTGTACGCATCAACAGCCTCTCTCAGCAGCTGCACCTTGGCTTCTCTCTAAAACACATGCCAACAAACACAAACGCATTTAATGATCACTGTTACTTATGAATGTGACATCTCACGTGGCCTCCCTCTCCACCATGCTAATAAACCAATTTCGGTGTTTGGAGCCTATCTGGTGGCAGAAAATGACCATTTTAATGTAGCAGTATATGGAATAATAGAATAAAAAAAGATCATTTTGAGTTTCTTCTCACAATTCCGAGATTATATCTCACAATTCTGATTAGAAAAATCAACTCGTCAATCTCTCTTATCCCCTCGGCTCAGAATCATGAGTTTATATACAACACTTCTGGCTTTTTTTCTCAGAATTGACAAACTCACTGTTGTTGAGTTAAATCGAGTTATAAAGTCCGAACTAGGAGATATAAACTTGCATTTGCGAGAAGAAAAAAAAATCAGAATTGTGAGATAAAATAGGTAAATGTTATGTAAAATGTTATAGGTTTAAATAGTATTTCATGCTGTAACTGTAAATAAAATGTCACTTATGAACTGCATATAGACCTATTGTTTAAATCTAATTTATGCTTTGAAAGTAGAGTAATAATCATAGCAGGTTTCATCCGTAGTTTGTCTGTTTAAACCAGAGATGCAAACAGGTAAGCGGGGCATGCTCCACACGGAATTTCTTTTAAAGATATTTGCTTTACATGCTCATTTGTAGTTACTTTAAAGTATTTTTAAGTATTTTTTACAACCTTATATATTTAACATCTTGTTGCAACATTTTACAAAAATCAAGATTGAATATATTTGGTCAAAACCACATCTTATAAAAGATTAAGTGCTCTGAAGGCTATTTAAGACAATATTGGCTTATTAGATGGCAATGCTGACCTAAAGTGCAAAATGTTGCTCTCTTTACTCTCTTTCCCACATCTAAGACCTCAAATACATAAAATATTACAGTTTTTAAGAGTAAAGAAAATACTATACAAAACTTATTGAAACAACCAGGGGCCAGTTGCATAAACATAGCCACCGTGTTAAGACTGTCTTAAGAACTAGTTTGACCAACTAGCAGCTGCCAAGGGGGAATCAGTCTTACTGTTCCCATCCAAATAAGACCGATCTACCTTTTCATAACGGAATAAAAAAAGTTATGACCAGTCTTGAAGAAAAAAATTAGATGACTAACTTTTTAAGACTAGGTTAGGCTACGTTTACACGACAACGATGTAGTCAAAAACTTAAAAGTTTTTCCCTTGCGTTTTTAAAAATGTTCACGTATACACGACAACGTTTTCAAAACGATTTGCGTTTACACATATCTGCGAAAACGGCCAAAAACGCTGTATTACGTATGCCAGGCCAGTAGTTGGCGCTGTCACCTTGTTAGTAAACAGTACCTGTAGGGAAGTGATGATTATATGTTGTATATGATGCGTCTCCGCTGTTGGTTGTAATATTGGTGGAGTAAATCCACACTTTGCTGAAGAAGCGTTAGCAAACTCTTAAGCAGCAACAACAGTACCATGTACTCCGCCATTGTTGTGTTTGTTTGTTCGCGCTTGCCTTTAACATCGACACGTACTGCGCATGTCTAACGTTACATACCTAACACGTACTATGCGCGCGCATGACGTCAGCATTTCCAAAGATTCCCGTTTTGGGTGCTTACACGGAAACGATAACGGTGCCGTTTTCAAAAACTTGCACTTTGAAACCCGTTTTCAAAAATATGCGTTTTCAGTCCCCAAAACGCCGTTGTCATGTAAACGAACAGGCAACATGCATTAAAAAGTTTCCCGTTTTCGGCTGAAAATGATGTCGTGTAAACGGCCCCTAAACAGTTTATGCAACCGGCCCCAGTTCTTTATATACCCTTGTAAGATCACAAGTACCCCGTAAGACCCCTTTGCAAGACTAGAGCTCTCTAATTCAGTTCTTACTAGTAACAACTATGATTATAGAGCTCTCTAATTCAATTCTTACTAGTAAGAATTTAATTAGAGAGCTCTCTAATTGAATTAGAGATCTCTGCAATTGCATTGTTGCTAGTAAGAATTACAATTACAGAGCTCTTTAATGCCATTTTTACTAGTAACAATTGAATTAGAGATCTCTGCAATTGCATTGTTGCTAGTAAGAATTAAATTAGAGAGCTCTACAATTAAATTCTTACTAGTAACAATACCAATTGGAGAGCTCTCTAATTCAGTTCTTACTAGTAAAAATGTAATTACAGAGCTCTCTAATTCAATTCTTACTAGTAAGAAATCTAGTTACAGAGCTCTACAATTGTATTCTTACTAGTAAAAACTTGTATTCATTAGATGCAAAACAGATTTGCGACTACACCCATTTGCCTTTCCAAATCCCGCCTGTGGTGATACACTTCAAAATAAAAGCCCCATAAGCATGAATTGATAGCGTTGTAATTGTGTCAGAATGACCATAAGAGTGAGATGACAGTTTTGTTTTAATATTTAATCACTTCATTAATTCACACCTTTATATTATTATTAATATTATTAATATTGTTATTTCTTTATTTCAGACCCTTAGGTCCACATCACAAAAAAGAAAATAAAGAGTAGCCTATAGTCTTAAAAATACTTTACCAGACAATTTTTTTGTCATTTTGGTGTTTATTATGTACTGTAACATGCATGCAGAATTTGAGCTAGTACATATTATAGGCTAATTAATAGGTGAATTGTCACTCTTGACAAAATGTGTTTTAAAATATCTTTTTTTTTTTTCTTGGTCAGACATTAGGGGGGAAAATTCAATTGCGACATTATTTTGTTGTATTTTTTTCGATAAGCTTAATTAGGTGATATTTTGCTGAGTGTTTTTTGTGCTGGAACCGTGGTTTTGGCCAATAGGTGGCAGCACGACTCTGTCTCTTTTATAATGATTTTAATCAAGATATAATAATATTTAATAGATCATTAGAGCATTACACAAATTGAAACTAAACAGCTTTAGTTGAATTAACATAGAACCTTAAGTTTATGCAGTAGACAAATCAAGTTTACATTAGTAGTCTTTACTCAAAATCATTAGTTCACATCAATTATTATTTGGAGTATACTGTAGGTTGCATAAAATAACTATTGCAAGTTACAACTACAAAAATATATGTTTTTAAGTAATGATAAATGTTATATTTATGTAATGTCAATGTAATTAGACAGATTTTGAGATTTATTGTATTAAACATTGTTTCAAATCAATTGGAAAAAAGAAAAACATTTCAATGCACAAACGTTTTATTGTTCACCAAAGAAATGGTAACACGACAATGCATTAAACTTGTCAGCCACAAGACAAGTAAAAATAAGCTTTTAAAAAGCTTACTAACAATTGTAACTATTTTGTAGAAGAAACATGAACGCACAGTATTCAACAATATATGCTATATCCCTTGTGAATGCCTGGATATGCATAAAAAAATGGGCATGCATTAAAATGGAGGTTTTAACTTGGCTGAAGAATTGTGCGAACACACATTAACTGAGCACTAACAGCACTAATATGCATTGACAGAACACACTTTAGGCCCTGTCCACACGGAGATGCGTTTAGCTGTATACGCATAAATTTTGTATCGTATAGGCGTTTCGTCCACACGGTTCCGGCGTTTTGGGAGAGTGAAACCGATATTTTTTGAAACGGGTCCCAGAGTGGATAAATCTGAAAACGCCGCCCTTGCGTTTTCGTGTGGACAGCGAATCCGTATATTTTCTGAAACGATGACGTCATCAGCCCACGTCTC